AGCAACCTTAAACAAACTAACCTTATTAAAGACATGTTAAAAGGTTTTGTGGAAATAGACGAAACCTTTATCGGAGGCAAAAACAAAAATAGACATTGAAATAAAAAAGTTCCTAATTCACAGGGCAGAAGTTGAAAGGACAAAGTGCCAGTATTAGGCATGTTAGAAAGAAATGGCAACCTTATAGCCCAAGTGGTTCAGAATACTAGACAGGAAATAATTGAGCCAATAATTAAGGCTAATATTAAGCAGGGTTCCAATGTCTTTACTGATGAATGACATGCTTATAAAGATTTACACAAAAACTTTAACCATGAAATAACTAATCACAGTATTAAGCAATATGTCAATGGCAAGGCTACAACTAATTCTATTGAAGGCTTTTGGTCTCATTTAAAAAGGGGTATTTATGGGACTTATCATTGAATAAGTAAAAAATATACACAGAAATATATAGATGAATTTGTGTTAAGATTTAATACCCGCAAATGTAGCGAGCAGGAAAGATTTGATTTAGTGCTTTCCTCAATTGTAGGTAAAGTTTCAAGTTATAGTCAGTTAACTTCTACTTTCTAACTTTTTCTTTAACTCTTGAATTTCTTTTCTTAAATCATCTATCTCTTTTTGCTCCTCATCGGCTCGGTGAGTTAGTTTAGTAATTTCCACCCTATCTTTACTTAATTTAGCACTATAATTAAAAAACATGCCAAAACAGACAATAATTACAAAGCATAAGGCAATTGCGATATGACAGCAATCAATACCTCTCTTTTGTTTAATTTGTTTCTTTTCCATAATTTTCTAATTCTGCTCTCTCTCTCTCTCTGTATCATCCTTATCACTACTAATAAACATACTGGCTATACAAGCGAAAAAGAAAGACAAGAAAAGACCAACCGCCAATATGGCTCACATTCCACCTTTACTTTTATTTTTACCTAATCTAACTAAACTATATATCCAATAACCAATAATAAGGGGTCAAAAAAGAACCCATACTAAAAACCTAACATTTTCAGGGAATATTGCTACTATAAATAATGAGGCAAAAATATCTATTAACATAATATTATAATTTTAGCATTTTTTTCCTATACACGAATTATATATAGTATAGAGTATAAAAACTATTTATATGACAAGAAAACTAAATAGAAAGCAAAAGGACAATGATATTCAGCCAGTAAGCCAAGAGGAATTTGACAAAGTAATAAAAGCCTTGTTAAATTCTCCACCTAGGAAAAAGAGGAAAGGAGGGAAGTAGTTTAAAATTGTATATAGTTCCCTTATTTTTTATTTTAACCAAGATATATAAAGAAAAAATACAAGATAAAAAAATTGCAGAGTGATTGCATGGAATCCAAGGCTGGAACAATCACACCATTACATGTTCCAAGGTCAATCAAGCAATTATTTGAATCCATTGGTGCACTTATTGAAGGGGATTAGGTTTGTATGCAATTTAAAAATTTTTTATGTTAATTTAGAGTTCCATTTTTCTTTGCTCTTGTAGTTTGCATTTTACAATTCAAGTTATTTACCTTAATGTAATTATCATTATCAAATTAATTTTTAAGTTTCAAAAATTGATTATTTTGAAAAATATAATTTTTATACATTTGTAAGAATTACTTTTCAACAAGATAAATTATAAGTATTTTTGAACAGGTACTTTAATTATTGTAAAAATACAAATTACCTTTATTTCTTAGAGAATAATCCTTTTTATGTTAAAAATACATAATAATATAAATAATAAAAATATAAATAAATTATAATTAACCTTATTGTTATAATCTATTCAGAGGATATTTAATTGATTATCTTAAATAAATTAAGTAAATTTTACATCTATAAAAAGTAAACAAAATATAAATCACTACACATGATTTGTTAAAGCAATAATAACATTTTCTGTTTATGATCAATAATATGTGGAAAAATTCATTTTAAAGGTAGTCAATTTTTTATTAACTTGTTATTATTTCATTTATTGTTTGCTTTTTAAGTTGTCTTTTCTCATTTTGATTATTAATGATGATAAGCCAATTTAAATCTAGGCCATAATTATTTTTCATGGGGAGGTTGACCAAATTTTCCAATTTCTCTTCACAAGTTATTGAGCAATCATATCTTTTAAATCATTTACCTAAAACTATTACATTGATTCATCTAAGTTTAATTCCATTCATATACTTTCCTTCAAATTTAAAACAATTATAAAAAACTACAAAGTGAACATAAAATTATAAAATAATATATAGGGATAAGCGTATATGAAAATTAATAATAAATATAATGGTTCTAATGAATATCAAAAGGCCATTGTTTTTTTAGAAAAAAGCTGTGGTTGTGGATGCTCTTCAAGAATTCCCAAGGAACAATTTGCAGAATTAAGGGAATCCTTTCAAGCTCTTTCTAAAGTAGAACAAGACATATCTTAATGGCCCAACTTGAGGCAATGGATGGAACAGGAGGGAACGTACTGGGAACACAAAATTAACAGGAGGGAACACAAAAATTTAACCCATGCAATTTTGTGAT